TCCCTTATGCATAATCAGTAGCAATTGATGATAGACCCGATAGTGACCATGTCACCCTTAGAGTAGTCTTAAAATGCAGTCCAGGGTTTTAACAGATCTTATAGTGCCAGGTTATTTACAAGGGGAAAACATTTTATATGGTCCCTCAAAACAGATGCCAGTGTAAGGCAGATGTTGAGAACAGTTAAGCTCCAAGAGCTATTCAAAAACTAAGTCTTTGGGGAGAAAGGCCCCAAATTGGTCATTTAATTAACATACCCTTGAACAACTGCAATTATTTAAATATCTGAAGCTGCATTTTGCTGAGAAACTTTCTTAGAAACAACACCTAAATGTCCTAACCTTCTTGAGTGCCAGGGCAACTAAAGAGGGGGAGGGTTATGTCAGAGAGGTCAGCTAATCAATCCTGCCCTTAATTTTGCCTAAAATGTTGGTTCAAATGTTTTATGTGGCAGAAATACGGGGAGACATCAAGACCAGTTTAGAGACTGTACAGAATAAATTCATGAGGCAGATACTGGGGTTCTCTCTAGGGACTCTGGCTCATATTAGAGCAGAGTTGGCTCTCCCTTCAAGTATGGCCAGAATTGATTTGGCCTATTTTAGATATTGAGATACGCTAAATAGCATGGAGGACCACTCCCTGACCAAGTACAGTGGTCCCTCGCTTGATGAGGATAATTAGTTCTGTTCAAATCGCTGTTAAGCGAAATCTTCGTCAAGCGAAATGAAAAAGCCCTTTGAAATGCATTGAAAACCGGTTCAATGTATTCCAATGGGCGAAATACCTCAGCGTCCAGCGAAGATCCTCCATAGGGTGGCCATTTTCCAATGCCTGTAATGCGAGGAATCCATCCTAAAGCACAGCAGGGAGCCATTTTGCACAGCGGGCTGCCATTTTGAAACCCAACGATCATCTGTTTTTGATTGTCGTTAAGCAAAAAATCGGTTCCCAAAGCAGGGAACTGATCAACGTTAAGCGAAAAAAGCCCATTCAGTCATCGTTTAGCGATCGCAAGATTGCAAAAAACTAATCATCAAGCGATTTCCTCATCTAATGAGGTAATCATCAAGCGAGGCACCACTGTACTGCTGGCTGGAGCAATTGGAGATGGGAGGACGGGCACAGTGGTGTCAGTTAAAGGTTTACAGTCATTGAGAAGTTTCTTTTTTTTAGTCCTCAAAATCTTAGGAATTGGATTTTTGACTTTGATGCCAGGTAAGGGCTGCCATTGTTGGGCCAAAATTCTCTGTTTGGTGTTGTCACACACACCCAGTTCCCCTGTTTGTTCTTCCACACAACCCAGGTTCCACTTTCGGGTATGACATTTATTTTTCAACCCTTTTCCGCTGCCACCAGAGGATTTATTCTCACTCTATCAAATATATCACAGTACTTCAATGTAACAATGTTTATTTAAGTGTTTATCAGGAAATCATGTAAAGTGAATCATGGATCGTCTTTTATTCATTTAATAAATTGTGCTTTGGTAACATTTATATTTGGGTAGAATCATTTTAATCAGAGTATTTATTCATTTCTTATCTTATTCCCCATCTCTCTATTACTCTTCTTTAACACAAGGCTACAGGGACGTGGTGGCGCTGCAGGCTAAACCACAGAAGCCTGTGCTGCAGGGTCAGAAGACCAGCAGTCGTAAGATCAAATCCACGCAACAGAGTGAGCTTCCGTTGCTTGTCCCAGCTCCTGCCAAACTAGCAGTTCAAAAGCATGCAAATGCGAGTAGATAAATAGGGACCACCTCGGTGGGAAGGTAACAGCGTTCCGTGTCTAAGTCGCACTGGCCACGGAAGATTGTCTCCAAACGCTGGCTCTATGGCTTGGAAATGGCGATGAGCACCGCCCCCTAGAGTCGAACATGACTAGACAAAAATTGTCAAGGGGAACCTTTACCTACACAAGGCTGGTCCTAACTGCCTAAACTGCTTCTCTCTAACTCTCATCCCTAACTCATCTCAAACTCTAACTGATCCTGACTTCCATTCCATTCCTCTTATATTTCCTTAGTCCCGCCTCTTCTGTACAACCATTGGCTCCTGAATCAAGGTTCCATTGTGATGGACAGGAGTGGTTATTGACCTGTCTGTCATAGGTGTCCTCAACTTCATCACATAAGGCTATACTACTTTGAGGATTAACCTTCCCACAGCTCCATAAACTTATTACAGAACTCAAATTCCAACAGATGCCCTCTGCATATCTTGAAGGGTGATACCCCAGTTTCAGAAGAAATATGTGTCTATGGCTGTAATCAAACTGAAGATATAACTCACTCTTTATTGTTCTGCCCCTTTTACAATGGTGCCTCGAATAGCGAGCACCTCTGTTAACGAAGAAACCGAATAGTGATGTGGTTTTGGGGGCATTTTTTCGCCTTGATTAGCGATTTTTCCTGTAGGTGATTTTTGAATAGCGATCGTCGGGACCGCACTTCGAATAGTGAGTCCGTTTTAGGTCCCATGTTTTCGATTAGCGAGTTTTTAAACAGCCGCGCGATCACTGTTTTTAAAAGGGTTTAAAGTTAAGGTTTAGGGTTTGAAATGTTTGAGATCGTAAAGTGCACTGAATAAACCCTTTGTTAACCCAATTTGACCTTGCTCTGACTCTTTTTTAATTTGTTGTGGATTTTTCCCCCCATTGAGAAGCATTGAATAGGTTTCAATGCATTTCAGTGGGGGAACCGCATTTTGAATAGCGAGGTTTCCTATGGAGATTTTCCATTAGCGATGGCAATTCGTTCCAATTGGCTTTCAATGCTTTTCAATGGGAAACCGTGTTTTGAATAGCGATGAATTTGAATAGCGAGGTTTTTTGCGGAACGGATTAACCTCGCTATTTAAGGCACCACTGTATATGGATCCTAGAAAAAGATTTCTGTCATCTATCATCTGGTCATTTGCCAAATGCACCTCTGAGGAAGCCGCATCATGTCTGCTCTCTGAAAATCAGTTATTTATCACTTACTCTAGCCCAATTTGCGCTTGCAGACAAGAAGTTGAATTTTGTTTTGTCAATGATCATAATGCTGTATAGCTGCCACAAACATGTGCAGTAAGCTTGGTTGTTTTGAAGAATGCTATGATCAGATGGATGACAAGCATCCTAATGAGGTATTATAATTACCTGTTTTAAACTGGAAAAAATCTTTCCCCTTTTTAATGTATTGTATACTGTATATTGAAAAGGTCTTTGGTCAGAAAACAAAGTATTTTATGCTTTATTGCACTATCCACCCTTCACCAATGCTAGGAATAGGGTCACTGGAGCTCCATGTACTTCAAAAGCCATGTATAACTCTTATGCTCCCAAAAACATAACTACAAAGCATAAATATCCTGTATCTCCGAAAATAAGACCTAATCTGAAAATAAGCCCTAGTATGATTTTTCAGAATGCTTGTAATATAAGCCCTGCCCCAAAAATAAGCCTCAGTTAAGTGAAATCCCACCCTCCACCATTGTGCAGCAACCAGAAGAAGATGACATGACTGCATTTGACTAAATGTAGATTGTTGTACATGAGTAAAAATAAAACATCTGAAAATAAGCCCTAATGCTGGGGTGGGTGTGCAAAAATAATATAAGACCCTGTCTTATTTTCGGGGAAACACACAGACACAAACTTATATATAACAGATGAGTTTACTGTATTATCTGTACAGCATGCCCCAGCATCCTCCCCAACCACCACATGGAGCCACCATGCCAGAGGGGGCTCGCTGGGCCTCTGCCATCAGACTTGAGGCTACCACACCAACAACAACAGGGGCCTCAATAAGTCCACAGCCCACCTTTCTCGGACACCTCCTGGAGGTGAATAGCAACACAGGATTGATTGATTGGTTGATTGGAATAAAATTTATGTACAGTGGTGCCTCGCATAGCGATCACTCCGTTGAGCGACGAAATCGCTTAGCGACTGAGTTTTTGTGATGGTCCCTATGGGGTTTTTTCACTTTGCGATGATCGCAGGGAAGCAATCATGGCAAAGCGACCCTTTTTTAACAGCTGATTGGTGGTTTCAAAATGGCCTCCGGGAAAACAAAATGGACGCCCGCTGTTCTTCCTCGCTTAAGAAGCAGCGAAAATGGCGGCGCTATGGAGGATTTTCGCTTAAAGGTGAGGTTTTAAGTCCATAGGAACACATTAATCACGTTTTAATGCGTTTCTATGGGCTTTTTAATTTCGCTTAGCGATGTTTTCGCTTAGTAAGGTTTTTTCCGGAGTGGATTAACGTCGTTAAGCGAGGCACCACTGTATAACCAAACAGTGCTGCTCAAACCCATGCAATTCAAGGGAAAAGTGTAAATGTATTTGTAGTCATAGAAGACAGACCTATATCAGCTCAGGCAACGTGATACCAAGACCTGAATAAGAAGAAAAAAATAAAGTTTACCTAAGAAGCTTTTTCACTTAATCAAATAATATTAATCCCAGATGGGGCTTGAAGGCATTTGCAGATTAGCACACTGAAAGGGCAACCCAGAAACTTTGAATAGGTTTGGGGGTGGCTATCCTTTAGTCTAAAGCCTCACCTAGTGGCACTAAGTAAAGGTGGCTAGATTTTTTAAGGTAAAACTTTCAGAGAATGTGTAATTCACCAAAGAGTGAAAACAGAGGGGAAATATGCTTCTCTGAGGATGTTGTAAAATGTACAGGCAAATTTGTGCGACCCATGTGTGCCCAGGACTGTTGAGAGCTGCTGTCAAATAGAATTCTGGGTTAGACAGACCAGTAGCTTCTCTGGCACATACACAGATATTCTAACATTCCAAAGTTGAAAGAACTGTGCTCTTATGGTTGTTGTGGGTTTTTCGGACTCTTTTTCCTAACGTTTCGCCAGTCTCTGTGGCCGGCCGGCATCTTCAGAGGACAGCACTCTTGTGCTCTTAAGTTACTGATTTCTAAGGTATCCCTTTTAAAGATATTAAAGAGTGTTCCATAATAATTGTTTATATGTGCTATTCTTAACCTCTCAGGGGTGATGATTATAAATACCATGTAAAGTGTCTCAGTGAAGATCAAAAGTATGGTGGCAAGGGTCATGAAGCCAAAACCCACAAAGGAGATATGAAACAGCAAGAATGGATTCAGGTAAAGCTCACACCTAACAATATTACAGTTAATGTTTTACAAATTAATGTCCTCATGGTCATTCTCCACAATTTTTCCATATATGGTCTTTGAGACATCTCAAATAAAACAATACAATAATGCGGAAAATATATTTAAAATCATACAGGGAAAACACTAAGACAACAAAGAATTCTGCATTTTGTACACACACACGTGTGTGTGTGTGTGTGTGTGTGTGTGTGTGTTATAATAATAGACAAACCACCAGACTTCTAAGGCAATGTCCTTTGGACAAACAAGACCAAAGTGGATATGTTTCGCCATAATGCACAGTGCCACATATATCAGCACAAACACCTCATGATTTTTATTATGTCCTGATATATAAAATCATAGAATTCCAAGAGGGTGTATTTTCCCCCCCACATGACTGTAGATCTTCAATGGTCAGTAGAATGATAAAAGGAAGGAGACAGGGTAGATAAATGTCAATATTTTTTTAAAAATCAAATAGATTTAACTCTCAATTTAAATTTTTAAAATTGATTTTTAAAATTTAAATTATCAAAAACAATCTGATTTTTAAAATTTTAATTGTGATTTAAATCAAATCCATCCTGGGAGGAGGCCAATCTAATTTCCCAAGAAAGAGCATTCCACAGCATTCTTTTGTAGCTGTCAAACACACATGTGATGGAAATGAGACCAAGAGAAACCCCTCTGTTGTTTTTATCTAGTGTAATCATATTATCACCATCATCTTAGAACTGCATTTCTCTTTGCAGAAGATTCATGAAGCAATACGGGAAACAAACATTAACCCCAAAGTTAAAGATATTTTGGAACAGATGTATGCATATGACAATATACCAAGAAAGAAGCAGAAGTTTCAGGTATGTTTTAGATGCTAACTGTAGCTGTGTACTTTCAACTGGGAATAAGACTTAAAGTCGGACTTACTTCCGATAGATATTTGTACTCTTGTATTGTGAAACAATTGGTTTCTATTGCTTCTTGACAAAAAGATGAATGATGACAAGTTTTCCTAAAGAATTTGTAGAAATAATCATATTGATCTTGGTTACAGCCAAGTAATAAACTGTGGCCAGTGCTCCCCCTCACTAATAACTGTTCCTAAAAAGTGGGATGAAATTTTCCCCCACATTTCAGAATTCTGTAGAAGTCAGGTTGATGTGGCAGGGTTTTGTCATGTAAAGAGTTAACAAATTTCTGCATTTCCCCTTACATGTAGATGTTCTAGCATAGAACATGCCCATGGGGTGGTTGCTTTCCAGGCCCCTTTCCTTTAATCTCTGCTTCTACTTCTGGAAGTTCTTTTTTCTGCAGCTGTGCTGAGCTTCATGTCAGCTGCAGTGGTAAACAGACTGAGCTTGAGGTATTCTAGCATTATGCCTTCAGGCATTATCCTTTTGTCATTGCAAGACTCACTCCAAATGTAATTTCAAGTTTGCCTTAAATATTGGCATTTCTAAATAAACATGTGACAATTCAATTAACTGGAAAAAAGAAAGAGAAAACTCTGGCTTCCTGCCAAAAAGTAGTTTTTACCATTTGTGCCCTGTTGTCCCTTCTGGCTTTCATAATATGAGGAATGGGGCTGCGCTTCTGGGACCACCCCCAATAGATTGGCACTGAGTCTTTGTATCTGCAAAGGAGGTCAATTTATGATCAGCTCACCTATTCCTTTGAATAATTGTTTAGATAATACAGTCTGCCAAATAGTTTAGCTGTCAAGCAGTAAATCAAGTGGTAGGGCAAGGGTCACAATCCCCTTCCTTATACTTTGAGTGAACACATGAATAGCGACTTCAGCTGCATTTGAGTAATAAAATTGATTTAGTGTGCTTCCATGCTAACATGGTAGTTAAAAATGCAACATTATTAAGTAACCAGTAGATACAACCTGTTGTTAGATGCAACGAAAAGTAAACAGTGTGTGGCACATATACTACTCAGCTTCTGGATATTATCAGATTTTGAAAAAGATGTATGAGCTAAAGATGGATGTTGCCTTCTGATGAACAGAGCACTACAAATATGTTGTAGCGATCACCCTGCCTTTGCACATGTATGAGGGTATTTGCATGCACCAATGAGTTATTGAGAGGCAGAGGCAGACAAACTAGAAGGGAGGGGTGAGGCAGATAAGAGCAGTTAGTCGAGATAATCAGGAGAGTCTGGAGTGAGGAGTCAGAGAGGAAAGTTCGTCTGTGAGGAGTTAAGGGAGACAGTTGAGAGTATGGAACTTAGAGTTACATGTGAAATAAGTTGATACAAATCTACTGAATAGTTTAAAGTCTTTTAGGAACCTATTTATGTTAACTGTATCCAATAAACCTGTTTTGTTATAATTTACACGCCATATGGCCCTCAATCTTTCTAAGTAAATATTGTTGACAGAGATCAACTGGTGGCAGCATAAAAGGGAATGTGGCGTGGGCCTTAGGTTAATGAAATAATTTGGGGACATGAAAGGGGCATGTCACATACGTCTAATGACTTTTATCAGGAAGTGGGTCTGCATCATTGTGCTAAAATTGAAATGTGACAATTTTCTGCCTGAATAGAATTGGATGGCCAACAGTTTGAAAATACATAGCACTGCTCTACAAGACCAGGTGTGGAATATTTTTTCCGAAGCTACCAGAAAGGTAAGAAATCAGACATTTTTATGGTAGTGCTTTACTGCTAGAATCCCCAGATTTTGACTCTGCTGTAGCCAGAATTTAATTTCTAACTAACAATGTTGAATCATAATCTAGCTGTAAAATCAGTGGAAATCAGACTTACTGTCTTAAATGCTAATTGTATGTAAATGCTTTGTAAATACTGCTTTTTAAAAAAATTAACAGAAAAAAATCATCCCTTTTTTTCTGTGTGCCAAATAAAAAAATCTTGTTCACTTGGGCAACTGCATTACAGAGATCTGTATGTTTGCTTTATGTAAATATTATGGCTTCATAGTTTGCTCCCCCCCCCAGATATTTCTACAAACTCATGTCTCCCGAAGATAGGAATCTGACATATCTGTAATGAGATATGTGGACATTAATGGAATGTGTACCCAAATGGACCATGGTATTTGTCTGCCAAACAGAAAGGGGGAAAAAGCCCTGTGGAAGTCCCACATAAGGGTGTATATGCATCTTGCCCATTTCTTATCACTTTGTCAGTGATGTTTGTTTGCTTTGGCTTTAAGGCCAAAGAGCAAATATTGCAGTTTTATTCCTCTTTCTTTCCATTTTTTTTATTTTAGCAGTACATAGGTCCTGCTCCTCGACCCCCACTTCATCTCTGTTTCAATTATTTCTGTGTAGCCCCATCAAGTATAAGCTTATTTGGGAGTAAGGCCTCTTTCTAGGGACTTACTCTCAGTGGATGGTTTGCAGCTACATCTTCCATATCATGAAGAACAGTGAATTCCATAGATCGCAAGAGATGGTTTGCATTAAGCCAGTGTAGAGCACTGTCTAAAAAGGTCAAATGCACAGCTGTCTTCAGCAATATGGGCAGTCACCCTTTCATTATGGCCCAAACATTTTCAGTTTCATACTGTCCAGATCAGTGGTCGGGGAACAGAGGTAAATTACCCCAAATGGGGTAAAAGTGAAAACCCTGGGGGTAATGAGCAGAGTGCTACCCCCTCCCTCCCACCCCCACTCTCTGCAGCCAAACCTCAAATTGTAAGCCACCTCTCCCTGTTACTTCCTTGGTTGCAGCAGGGCACTTGTAAATCCTCCATTCTTTCAGAGATCGGAGATAAGCCTGCTTCATTGGTTACAGCTGTGGAGTAACACACACCCCTGGGCAATCAATCAATCCGGGGCTTCTGAATGACTGCTTCCTCCAGAAATGACTGCAAACAAGCAGGAGAAGGAAAAGGATCAAGTTAATGAGGGAAGGAGGAAAGGAAGGTGTGAGAGACTGAGGGCACCTCCCAGGAGGTGATAGGACCAGTGGCCATGATCTTAGTTGTTTTGATGTTGAGCTTCGGACCATTTTATGCGCTCTCCTCTTTCACCCTCATTAAGAGGTTAAGTCCTCACTTTCTGCCATACTTTTGCGTAGTCAATGAAGCAGAAGTAGATGTTTTTCTGGAACTCTCTGGCTTTCTCCATAATCCAGTGCTTGTTAGCAATTTGGTCTCTAGTTCTTCTGCCCCTTCAAAATTCAGCTTGTACTTCTGGGAGTTCTTGGTCCACATACTGCTGAAGCCTACCTTGTAGGATTTTGAGCATAACCTTGCTAGCGTATGAAATGAGTGCAATTGTACGGTAGTTGGAGCATTCTTTGGCGCTTCCCTTCTTTGGGATTGGGATGTAGACTGATCTTTTCCAATCCTCTGGCCACTGCTGAGTTTTCCATTGATGATGATAAAAAAAGCACACTGGTCCTTTGATATTGGGCTGTGACACCAGGGTGGGTGACATGATCTTCAGCCTGGTTTGTTCCTTTTTACACACCACATACAGAATGATTAAAGTGGTAGGGAAAGCCCCCCCCCCAATTCTGTGTTGGCTGTCTCTAGTAAGCATGTCATTGCTAGCACCACTCTGGCAGCCACTGATGATGATTAAATCCTCTGCAAGCTAGCAAAAAATGTAATGCAATTTGCTGGGCACGTTGGACACCTTACTACTCTCTGTACCCCACCATGGCTGGAGTGCAATGTGTTCCAGCAAAAATAGTGCACATCTTTATCAAATTTGGTGCATCCTGCTAGACGTCAGTGCTAAATATCCAGTTCAGGAATGTGATTCTCCAATGAATGAAGAAAAATGTTGGACTTAGGAGTATATTCTTTGTCAGGAATGTGTCTCCTTAGAGAAGCCATTCCACTAGGGGAAGGAGCCAACTGTAGTTCTCAATGTCCACTACCTTTTCTCTAGATTGGGTGAGACCTGGAAAGTGTGTGACTGGGCAACTATGGACAACCTTCTAACACTAGATTTCTAATAACTTACTTATTTAAACTTAAAACTCTTTAGCTGTGTACTTTGAACCTTGCACACCAGACTTACCCAAATAAACAATAGCAAACATAGCCCTTGTGGCTAAGGTACTTTCTTTAGACACTTGCATCCTTGTCCCCAAGAGTCACACTTGGGTGAAATATAAAATATTTATTTAAAAGAGTAAAAAGTTATAAAACAAAAGAAATACAAAAAGATACAATTGTACTGTTTAAATGCCAAGCATCTAAGTATTAATTAAGTTTCTGTAAGACTTTAAAAGTCTCTGCTTCATGATGGCATCCAGTCAGCATACAGTCCTTTGTTCGCAAGTCCATGCCCAACTTGTAACTTTCTACAGCTCCCGTCTCTCCTTCCCAAGCTAGTAGGCCATTAGCAAGGAATGTTACATTTATAAGTCTTGAGGTGTGGCCTTGGCTCTTCTTCCACAACAACAGGTAGGCCTCTGGCCAAGATGAAACACCTGCAAGTCCTAGGAAACAAGTACTATAAAACCCATATCTTCACATTCTTTAGTACCGCTCCGTGGGCCAAGTGCAACACCCTGTATTCACCCATTAAAAGCCAACAGCCCTCACTCAGAAAGATTTACACATACTGGGGGCAGAGGGGATGATTGCATGAAACTATGCAATTGAGGCCTAAAATTGGGACAGCCTCCCCTCCTCCAAGGGAGCAGTGGCCTTTTTATGTAATTTTTTAAAATGGGTATGGGTAACCGCAGTGGTTCATATGTGTATTCATGCGTGCAGCCCCCAAACCTCTGGAAGTTGCTTGCACCTGGTCTAGTGTATGAACCACTTCTTGAGTTCATTCTATCCAGCTAGGGTATAATTTTATAGGTTACAAAGACAGATGGACAGTTCTCTACCATTTCATGAAAGCTCTGTATCCCACTGTGCTTCCACTGAGCAGAAAGTCTCACCAGCATAGTAACATGGATTTGTACTGCTTGTGGAAGCATTACTGTTATACAAGCAGATGGTAAGTTTTCTTCACAGAGGTCATCACGTGTGCAATGGCAGTGATTGTGCAAGCACCATATCAGTGGAGACTATAGGATACAGACTAAGATAACCTGAATGCTGGGAATTGCCCTTTACTACGTCTCTACTACTACGTCTTTACTACGTGGTGGTGCTGCGGGTTAAACCACAGAAGTCTCTGTGCTGCAAGGTCGGAAGACCAGCAGACGTAAGATCGAATCCATGTGACGGAGTGAGCTCCCATTGCTAGTCCCAGCTCCTGCCAACCTACCAGTTCAAAAGCATGCAAATGTGAGTAGATAAATAGATGCCACCATGGTGGGAAGGTAACGGCATTCCGTGTCTAGTCGCGCTGTCATTTGACCACAGAAACTGTCTTCAGACAAACACTGGCTCTACGGCTTGGAAACGGGGATGAGCACTGCTTCCCAGAGTCAGACATGACTGGACTAAATGTCAAGGGGAACCTTTACCTTTACCTTATGTCTCTATACTTCAGTTATTTTAAGCATCAATGATAATTACTATAATGTCTTCAGTTTTCCTTCTTGGCTTCATGGTGCTTTGGCATCAGGTGGAGCCTCCACCCACAGGAAGTGCGTAGACGAAGGCCTAAGATACAGAGCAAACCAAAAGAGTAACCCATAAAAAAGTGCTCTCCATTAACTGAAGTGTAAAGATAATGGTTAAGTGTTTTCTTTTTAGCTTCAATTCTCACATCGGCAAAGTTGAGTACTACTTGCATATATTATAGGGTTGCGTCAAAAATTACTGAGATAATGGCTGAAATCCTGTTATCTTAGAGTAGGGCAACTGAATCAATGAGGATTTGGTGAGTCAACTCCTCCCTAGGTTCCATTGATTCAAATGGCCCTACTCTAGTTGTGACTTACTGTGCTAAGCAAGAGAATTTCAGCTGATATATTGGAAATGAGGTGGAAGTTCCCGCATTTTGGGGTTCTAAACTGTGCTCTTATGAATTGACAATTGGGTTTCTGTGATTATTAGTGTATTTGATGTTGCATAGCTAATATTGCCTCTCTGTCTAGCACTGAGGTTAAACTGCTGATGCTTTCACCTTGAATGAGAAGTTTGATTATACTCAAGTTTAATCCCAATGTCACCTTCCTAACAGGAGACAGTTGAAAACCAATCTGCAAAAAGTGAAGTTATGTCAATGCCATCAGAAGATACTAATGTGAAACGAGAGGTTACAAAGCTAAAGAGAAAAAGGGAACAAACGGAGGAAAAGAGGAAAAAGGAAAAAGAATTAAGTTTACAGCCTCAACAAGAGAGCACTGGACTTTTAAAATGCAAGAAGTCAAAAAGAGAGGAACTGAGTTCAAAAAATTCTGAAAGCAATGGTCTGAAGATGACAAAGCAGCAGAGAGTTGATCCAGCTGTACTGGAAGTAAATGGAAATCGTCTTAATACCAAAGAACCAAGAACCAAAGCGAATAAGAAGAAATGCAAGCGTAATGTCTCAGAAAGTACAAATTTTGCATTACATGTTGTAAAATCCATTGTAGCATCTTAGAACTATGGGCTATACTTAACCAAAACAGCAGCAAAGTATATATTTGAAACTAATGAGACCCTTCAAAAACAGGAATGAGAGCAGAAAATATTGCCATGATCAGTTTTAATTCTACAAATCACAATGGAAGAACTTGAGATGTGCAAGATCTATCAATACAGTCAACCCTCGACTTATGAACTTAATCCATTCCAGAAGGACGTTCCTAAGTTGAAAAGTTTGTAATTCGAATCCAAATTTCCCATAGGAATGCTCTGAAACTTACTTAATGTGTTCCTATGTGAAAAAAAGTTATAAACAACAAAAAAATTAAAACAAAGTCACTTACCAGGTACTGCAGACCAAGCCTGGCTCCTCACAGCACCCCCACAGCCGTGGAACAGCCAGAAAAAGAGCGCCCAACAGCTGAGTCAGCAACCAGCAGGCAGGTTGCAGCCATCCTGGAGAGACAGCAGCCATCTTGAGAGACAGCCAGCCATGTGGTCACCTCACAAAATGGCCGCCGCCTCTCTGCTCTTTTTCTGGCTGTTCTGAGGCCACAAAGGAACTGTAAGGAGCCAGGCTCGGCCCACAGTACCTGGTAAGTGACTTTTTTTCTTACGATGGTGCTCGGAGGACTGGCCGGGGACCTCTGAAAGCGGCACTGGCGGCGGCGGGTTGGTTAATATTTCCCTATCAGAGCGGTTCGTAAGTTGAAATGTTCATAAATAGGGCCGTTCGTAAATCGGGGATTGACTGTATCAAGCAAAATCCTCTCTTTGCTTCTAAGAGTCTTCTGTGAAACATTAGGCAGAGCAGATCCTTGTTGCTTCACATGATGCATGAACACATGAACTAGTTTTAATGGGCCTAATATTACAGGTCTTTAGTATTTACTTCTAATGGTTCTATTTCTGAACTTCCTAACACTTATTCTCATTTTGTTTATCTCCCCATGCATAAATACAGGTGGATTTTCCATTGTACAAAAAAAACCCAAAAATTCAGAAACTGAAGAAAGAGAGGAGGAGCATAGAGACAATTGTAAGATTGAACTTCAGGTGTATTATGTTTGTAACAATAGAAACCTGGTAGCTAAGTGGGTTTGGGAGTTAGTATCATTGTTAAAGAATAAGATAAATGTAACATGTATAGGGAATAGCTCCCTTGCCCTGGAAACAAATTACTGAGTGCTATACGCAGGTGATGTAAGACACAGGCCCCAACAATGACTGGGTCTCCTCGTCACCTGGGCTGTAGAAAGGTATAGAATCTCTCAACTATCTGTAATCTTCCCTGTTTGGGCATGGTGGTCAATGTTGTGAGAGCTCGTCAGGGTTCTTGTGTGGATTGCAGCCTCTCTAGTTCAGGTCCTGTAAAATGTATACTGTGACAGGATGTATCTACCACAACAGTTACAAAATGGTGGGCCTTTTGTGGCACTTCTCCAAAATTCCAAATGTTCTACTGAACCAGAAAGACTGATGTCCCCTGGTATAGAACACTCCCTAATACAGTGGTGCCCCGCAAGACGGGCGCTCCTTGACGACGAAATCACTTGACGTTGATGTTTTTGCGATCACAAAAGCAATCGCAAAACGATGTTCCCTATGGGGGAATTTTGCTTTGTGATGATCAGTTCCCTGCTTTGGGAACCGATTATCGCAAAGCGATGATTTTTTAAACAGCTGATCGGCGGTTTCAAAATGGCCACCGGGTAAACAAAATGGCCACCCGCTATATTTACGCATGGATTCCTCACTGCACAGGCAGCGAAAATGGCCACGCTATGGAGGATCTTCGCTGGACAATGAGTTTGAAGCCCCTAGGAATGCATTAATCTGGTTTTAATGCGTTTCTATGGGCTTTTCAAAATCGGATTAACACGTTTTCATTCTACAGTGATTTTGCTGGAACGAATTAACGTCGTAATGCAAGGCACCACTGTAGTATATTTGAATATTTTGCCTAAGTGAGTTTTCCTTGAAAAGAAAGCTATGAAGTACCATGTTCTTCGTAGTGGTCTCTGTGAATGCACGCAAATGTGTTAGTTCTGCGCCTGTGTAGGACATTCGGAAGATTCTAGAGCTTTAGAAAAAGTGTCAATTAGCTCCCCCCGAGGGTATATAGGCTCCGCCTCCTCCAGCTTCCTTTCCTGTAGGACGTTAGGAAGAGCAGAGTGATTATAAGTATTCTAGTGTAGCTAGTCTTTTCTTGCCTCCCTTTTAATTTTATTAGTTTATTTGACAGAACCTGCCTTATTCTTTAATTTGCCGTTGTTATGTCGCTTCCCTCTCCCCCCATCGACGGATCCCGTTTTTGTTTTGTGGCCCCTCAGGGCTTCAGGCAGTGTGCCGTCTGCTCCCGCAGGATTCCTTTATCAAATGGCCATGACAAATGCTTGTTTTGTTTGGGTGAATCCCAACTTGATCAGACTTGCATTGCCTGCAAGGATTTTTCTAAACAAGCCAGAAACATCTTTGGGATAAAATACTCCTGATGTTACCATCCTTGCCTGATCCTTCTAAAACTGAAGCCCTCAGTGTTTACAAAGAGGCTAACACCCTCACCAGGCAACAGAGGTTCGCTGCAAAACACACGGCAGATACCGCCTCCAAGTCCATGCTAACTGCGATAGCTGTCAGACACCACGCATGGCTCAGAACAGCTAATATCCTCGATTACACAAAGACTAAAATTGAAGATCTTCCCTTCGATGCTGTCGGACTATTTAATTCCAGAACTGACAAGATTATGGAGAACATTCATAAAATGAGGAAGACAGCAAAATCCTACATACCATACCAGCCGTATCGGTACCACAAACAGGGCTACAAAAGACCTCTGTATCAATCTTCCACTCAGTACCAAACCTTTCGGTATAACAAACAACAGCAGGACTGCAGTTATCAGACCCAACAGTCCACCGCCCCGCTGTTCAAGCAACAACGCTTTCATAGCCCCAAGCAGTCCTTTCATAAGACTCACCACAGGGGTAAGCAGTTCTCCTAATTTTTCACTTACTACCAGATTGCTCCCATTCCTTCACGAATGGAGCACCATCACTACTGGTTAAGTGGGTTCTTACCATCATTGAGAAATGCTACCTGATTGAATTCTCATGAACCCCTTTAGCAAATTTGGTCAAAACTACTCCATTTTCCATGCCACTTCATTTGGAAATTTCGTCCTTACTATCCAAAGGGGCTATAATCAGAGTACCATCCTCAGACACCAGCGAGGGCTTTTTCTCTCGCTACTTCACAGTCCCCAAGAAGGATGGTGATATAAGATCTATCATGGATCTTAGAGACCTCAATCAGTATATATTATACAAGAGGTTCCGTATGTTGACTCTTGACTCTATTCTCCCTCTTCTGTCTCAGGGAAACTGGTCCGTCACCATCAACTATTTCCATATTTACATCCACCCGTCTCATCAAAAATTTCTCTGGTTCCGGTTCCACCATGACACCTTCCAATTCACCGCTCTCCCGTTCAGGCTCTCCACAGCCCCCAGGACATTCACAAAATGCATGGCACCAGTCGTGGCATACCTTCGGACAAGGGAATAAAAAAATTTCCCTACAAACAGGAAAAAGTCAAACCTAATACCTTCCCAGATAGTCTCCTATATAGGAGCAACCCTGGACTCTGTTCGCATGAGAGCCTTTCTACCGCCCCAGCGGATTCGTAAGATCCAGGCATCGGCTCTCAGATTCACTCTGTCCACAACCGTAACCACGCACAAGACTCAGCGCATTTTAGGTTTGATGGCATCCTCCACTTCAGTGGTACTCTATGCAAGACTGAAACTCAGGCCACTTCAGTCCTGATTCCTCACCCAATACTATCCCGTGACGGACCCTCCTGCAGAAAAGCTACGGGTCCCTCCGCACGTAGCACGACATCTCATCTAGTGGACTATCCCCAACATTCTGTCACTGGGAAAACCATTTCATCCTCCGTACCTATCCATACAGGTCGTCATGGATGCCAGCCCGTCAGGTTGGGGGGCGCACTGCCAAGAGTTACGAGTACACGGCCTCTGGACTACATGCCAAAAGGCCATTCACATAAATCAGCTAGAACTGTTGGCTGTTATAAAAGCCTTTCAAGCCATTCTGTCATGCATAAAGGGGCATGCAGTACAGCTAGTAACAGACAATACCACAGTGATGCACTATATCAACAGACAGGGCGGAATTCAATCCCGGCCTCTCCTTTGACTAACCATGCAGTCTTGGGAATGGTGTCGTACGCACCACATTTTCCCTCAAGCGATCCATATTATGTCCAGGGACAACTCCCTGGCATACCACCTAAGCAGGCTGCCCACCAGAATGCACGAGTGGGCTCTCGACCAGACAGTTTTTCTAGAACTATGCCAACAATGGGGACAGCCCATGATAGGTCTCTTTGCGTCCCATCTGAATGCCAAATGTGATCGGTACTGCTCCAGTACCGATAGACACCTTCTCCCTCAGAGACACCTTCCTCATACCGTGGTCCAGACACTAACCTACCTATTTCCTCCAATACCACTGCTCCTCAGGACTGTAACCAGAATTATCCAGTACCAAACGAATGCAATCCTCATTGCCCCATGGTGGCCGCACCAGCCTTGATTTGCCCACCTATTGGAAATAATGGAGGAGATATTCCACCTACCTCCAATTTCATCCCTCCTCTCACAGGACGACGGGGCCCTTCTCCATCCCGATGTCCGGTCTCTTCACCTGATGGCATGGATGATAACCCCCAATTCCGTGCAGTCCTAAATCAAGTGCGAAAGCTGTCTACTTCTCACCTATATGAAGCAAATGGAAAGCCTTTACCAAATTTGCCCAAGCTGAAGGCATGGTCACAGTACGGTACAGTCCCTATCCACGGTACTTACCTTTCTGTTATGCCTCTTGGGCTGGCTCATTCTACTCTCAAAGTCTACATTTCGGCAATAGTGGCTCATCAACCTCGATCCCACTCCGGCAGGCTATTCTCTGACCCTACAGATAAAAGATTTTTAAAAGGCCGCCAGAATATGCGGCCCCCTTCACAGCACATTGTACCACAATGGTCCCTTCCACTCGTATTGGAACCCCTTACCAAGCCACCGTTTGAACCCATGGCTACCTGTTCTGAGAAACTGCTCTCTTTGAAGACCACCTTTCTCGTGGCTATCACATCGGCCTGAAGAGTGAGTGAACTGGCTGCACTCCGGTCAGACCTCCTTACCTTCAAATGCATCCTGACAAGGTCACCTTATACCTGGACATCTCCTTCTTGCCAAAGGTGGTATCAGACTTTCACATCAACCAGCCCATCGTGCGTACAACATTTTTCCTTCTCCGTTCATGTCCCTAGAGTGCAAACTCTGTACCCTCAATGTCAGAAGAGCTCTTGCCTTCTACCTTCATCGCACCAAATACATTAGGTGCTCCCCGCGTCTCCTCCTGTGTTATCATGGACCACATAAAGATGCTCCTGCTTCTCCACAATCAATATCCAGATGGATTGTTCAGCTCATACAGCTGGCTTACCAGCTTACCAATAAGCCTGTACTGGATGGACTGAAGGCCCATTCTACCAGAGCGGTTTCCACTTCAACAGCTCTATTCAAAGGTGTTCAAATACAGAACATATACAGGGCGGCTACCTGGGCCAACCCTCTGACGTTCGCCAGACACTACCGCCTGGATGTCAGAGCTAAAAATGATGCAGCGTTTGGACAGGCGATACTGTCATCCTTAATATTGTGATGGCCCTCCTTCCAGTGAGTACAGCTTGCTATTCCCCCATTTGTGTGCATTCACAGAGACCACTATGAAGAAGGTTAGGTTAACTACCTGTAACTTTGGTTCTTCTAGTGGTACTCTGTGAATTCACACATCCCTCCCCTCCGTCCGTCACAATACCGTTCTATGATACCTTGCTTATCTACTTTTTATACGGTAACGGTGGACTCAGGGAACTGAAAGGAAGCTGGAGGAGGCGGAGCCTATATACCCTCAGGGGGAGCTAATTGACTCTTTTCTAAAGCTCTGGAATCTTCCAAATGTCCTGCGCAGGCACATGATTAACCCATTTGTGTGAATTCACAGAGTACCACTAGGAAAACCAAAGTTACAGGTAGGTAACCTAACTTTATCATTTCTTGGTTGGACCCGAAGTCATCTGGGTGAATGTCTGCCTCTTCAGTTAAGCCTTTTTTGCCTTCCTACCACCCAGTCCATTTGTGCAAAATTGCCTTCACTTAATTGCCATCAATTCTTCCTTCATGCAGGCTTCTTTCCTCCTGTTTGTTTGTGGGGAGTTCTTTTGTCTGTTTCAAAGACTGAAAATGGGTAGGCGAATGAAATCTGTTCTGCACAGGTGAACTTCATCTGTGTAACTTAGGAGTGGATATGTACATTTCCAATGTTACCCTTCCAGAAGAGGGCAAGAAACCACAGAATTATCTCAATCTGTAGGAGTTAAATTATTTATGGTGTTCTGAACAAGAGAAGGTGAATGAGAAGGTTTTTTTTTTTTAGCAAATTATGCATAGTTGGGCAAGTAATGGTTAGCCAAATGATGCTTGAACATCAATTATGTACGATAATTTCTGTTCCTTAGTTCCATGAACTTTTAAGGATTAGAAGCCATATTACAGTGGTGCCCCGCTTGACGATGACTTTTTTGCGATTGCTATAGCTATGTTTCTATGGGTTTTTTCACTTTACAATGAATAGTTCCCTGCTTCGGGAACCTTTTTTTGCTACACGATGATTAGAAACAGCTGATTGGCGGTTCGCAAAATGGCTCCCTGCTGTTTTCCGGACCGATTGTTCGCAAAACAGGGATCCCAAAATGGCCGCCCTATGGAGGATCTTCACTGGACGATGAGGTATTTGCCCCATTGGAACTCATTGACCGGTTTTCAATGCATTCCAATAGGGGTTTTTTCGCTTGACGATGATTTCACTTAACAGCAATTTTCCTGGAACGCATTATCGTCATCAAGTGGGGCACCACTGTAACTTCTTTTTTTCAACAATAAGTCCATTTTATACTTCTCTTTCTTTATACTTTCCTTGTCAAAGGAGAAGGGCAGTAACTTTGCACGTAAGACAGTTTGTGCAAAGTATGGTGACCCTGGCAAGCAGAAGTAATCGTACTGTCCTCTGGAGACAAGGAATCATGTGAGATCTGAAAGTTCCTCACTGAGATGTATTGAGTTGAGTTCGCGTGAATTGATGAAAACAAAGAATTTAGAGAATACTGCTTAAATTCCCAGTCAGGATCCAACCCCTTTTATCCCTTTAAGAAGAGTGTAGGGAGCTACTTGTTTTCTTTTTAAAAGCAAGCAACTTCCTTTAAAAAATAAGCAAATTTTCAAGTATTGTCAAAAAAAAATTAAAGCTTCTCCTGGTCGTAAAATATGGTATTGAATGTAAAACATACACAACTTACTGTACTGGTGTTCATTCATTTTTACAATGTAGACCAGCATTCTGTTGCCTAAATGTGGAATAGAAGGTTCATCTTCCTGCCTTTGCTCTGGCAGGCTCCTTTCATGTGTCTGTTCTTGTACTGGTTGCAAAAATATTCACACAACTTGTTGTGCAACAGGAAACCTGCTGGAGCTGAGGGACCATTTATATTATTCACCTTCCACTCTAATTAGGCCACAGGACACTGGTCAAGATTTTTCTTGCAAAAATATATGGATCAGCATATTTATATTACTTATTTGCAATCTATGCAGCTACTTTCTTTGAGTTGGAAAGATAATGTTACCTATTGAAAGGTAGACCATAACAGAAAATCTCTCTCTATCTCAATCTCTCTCTCTTTGTGTGTGTGTGTTTATATACAAACTTATTTTTAATCATCCTAGAAGAGTAATATTCACTGCTGCACTCAGTGGTAGAACAAAACAATTTCAACTCAGCAAGTTTTCTACGAAGCAGGGAGTGATTTTTGTGGCACTGTGAGGTGATATTCATTACTTTGCCCATCATTTATACAGATCATTTCTTTTATTTGTTTATATTTTTTTACCAACAATGCAGATAAGTTCAGCTGGAAAGGAACCATAAAAGCTGTTCTGAAGCAGGCACCTGACAATGAAATATCAATTAAGAAACTAAGGAAAAAGGTAAGTTGGAGTGCTATATGCAACACAGAGTACAATCGGGTAGACATTCCCCCGCATAAGCATCACTAAAAAGTGTTCTGAAGATAATTCAGTTATTTCTTCATATTTTTTTTCTTAACCATGTGTGATTATCTGAACAGCAACCAAACTGTGGACTGCTGCTTCATCAAAGTCTTGTTAAACAATTGTTAGAAGAGCATTTCTGTGATGTTCTCTGCTTTCTTCTCTTGTAAATCATTCCTGTTCCAACAATAGTATACAGCATCATCTGCCCCTAGAATTTTTTATGGTGACAGTTTGTTGAACTTCTGACCAGAAGTTTCATAAAATAGCAACTAAACTAATGTTTAGGAAAACCATATTTTCCAATGGAAGGCTGAGGTCTAGGGGCTATAAGTATACAAGTATTTGAAAAATTGGAGTTTGCATTTTAATATAAATTCCATCTTCATCCGTGCATCCTGTTCATAATATTTCATTTGTCTTTTTATAACTAGGAAAGGTAATCTGCAAGGGACTGACTATGACTTTAGCTTTGAAAATAAAATGCATATGCTTAGGATCCAGACATCACTTTGAAATAGCCACTTATTTTCTCTCCTTCCTTCCCCTCCACTGGACTTCACTGGACCTTCTGCATGCATATGATACAACTTGTTTTTGCAGCCTGCAGTAGCATCAGGAATGTAATCACCACTAAGCTATAGGCTGATCAGAAACTAAATAGAATCCATGTAGAAATGAATTGTCCCATTGAGACTTAGAGTTAACTTCTACTGTTGTAAATCCAGTTTATTTCAGCAGGGCTTGCACTCTGTGGGCCCTTCCTGGACTTACAACTGAAAACATTTTATTTAAAACAAATGTGTGTTTCTACAGTGTAAATGTTGAGGGACATGGAAGGAGCTGCCTTGGGTTCTCTTGAGGAGGAAGGCAGAGATTAAATAAGGGGCATCCCTGAAGACATTTGGGTTTCTCCAGAGCATGGGTAGCTCCTTGTTAGCTGATGCTTCCACTCCAGAAGAATCATTGGATTGCTTTTGACATGAACAAAGATCACAAGTCTGTATGTTCTCAAAGAGTGATTTATAGCAATCGTACTATACTATAAATGGCATTTGTATGAAAACAGCTTGTGAGTTTAAAAACAGAAAAGAGCACCAGTGAAATGCTATCCAAAGCTTGCGCAATTTTTTTTCAACTACACGACACTGTGGAAAATACTACATCTTGACTAACCCCAAAGCTAGGGGTTTTTAGTTCTCAGAAGAAGAATTTGTGGACAAGTTGATATCTGAAAATCAATTCTGCATTTAAAATTGTGCCTGGAATCTGTGCAGATCCTTAAGCACTGGTAAAATACAGCCAAAACTGTATGTCTGAAGTGGTAATGTTGAGAGTGGGGTTATATTTGCAGAGCATCCCCAATAAGAGAGTGGAAGAAATCATCCTTGCATGCTTTCATTTATAATCTAAAAATGGATGCTTGTTGGAAGGTTTGGGTCCAGAAAATCTGCCCAATTTAAAGGGATAATAGCATGAAAAAGTTTAAATATAACAGATTTTCTTTTCTTTTTATTATTTAGGTTTTAGCCCACTATTATGCAGTAGCAGGTGGCCATCATAAATCTGAAGAGGAAATTTTGGCTTTGTTTAATAAGAAAGTCAGCAACAATCCTAAGTTCAGAGTATTAAAGGAAAAAGTTAAACTTTTAAAATAGAATTGTGGTCAAATGATCAGATTCTGTACATTTTATCCAGTTGTGTTATTGGATGTAGAAATTATTTTCATGTTATAGCAGCAAAAAAGAGCTTGTATTTTATTATGAGTTCCTTTTGTTTTACTTCCCATTTATATTGATAAACTATATTTAAGTGACGAAAAGTTTCATTAAAATCTTTCTAATATTGTTTATAGAGACTTGAGTTTCTTCTTTCTAATCTGAATTGTTCAGTTAACAAAAATCAGTTAATACATGGAATTCAGTCCCATTGTTAATCTATCATAGGCCAGTAGAACTTACCCCCCCAATTAAACGTAAGTACCAGTGAAAACTAAAGGGACATGGTGGTGCTGTGGGTTAAACCACAGAAGCCTCTGTGCTGCAGGGTCAGAAGACTAGCAGTCATAAGATCGAATCCACACAATGGAGTGAGCTCCCATCAATTGCCCCAGCTCCTGCCAACCTAGCAGTTCGAAAGCATGCAAATGCAAGTATTTTTTGCTCCATAAGACATAGTTTGTCCCCAAAAAAAGTGGGAGAGAAACTATGTGTGTCTTATGGAGTGAATACTGTAAAAAAGGGTTCAGCCACCACCACCCAGAATCCTCCCACTGCTATGCTGGGAGGCCTCTGAACTGGCACCAGAGGCTGCTTGCTGTGGCAGCCACATTGGACCTCACCACTCTGCCATCTGCACTGCTGGCTTTCCAGGATCTGCCTCTTAGAGCCCACCTGGAAAACCAGCAGGGCCAACAGGCCTATGGAAGCAAATTTAAATGGCAGAAGGCAGTGAAAACAGCCAAGGAACAAAGGGGAAATAGTGATTCTAGAAAGACCAGGGAAAACCACAAACACAGTCCCCCACTGTGAGCACTCAAGGGTCTTCTAAAGATCACCTGAGGCTTGAACAGAGAGGTTCCAGGTGTAAGCGTACCCCTAATACAGCTGAGCTGAGTCCGGTTACCCAGCCAGGCAGGACCACTTACTCCTTTTCCCAAGTCCCTTCTAATAAGCAATTAACTGAAGAAAACCAAAGATAAAAATCATGAGTTTTGGAGTCTGCCAAGATGAACAAAACTCAGGCAATTAATGGACTCAACATATCTGTGGCCTAACAAATAATATTGCGGTTTTGCTGTTTGAGAGACCAAACGTAGGATTTTAAGAATTATTGTTTTATTAGAAAAATAAAGTATTTAGAGATATTCAGTTTGTTGCAAAAGCATAGCATTCAAGTACATTTCCATAAATCAAAGTGCCAACAAACACGGGTCCAAGAACACATGTGTAAGCTTGGACAGAGAGCAATCAGGAGTTTGCACATGCTAAAATGGGCTGAATGAGTCCAAATTCAGCTAGCCTTGATACAACACTCCTTCTCGCAGGTCTGCCCACATAAGAACACCCTGGTACTCTCGGATATTATTATGAAAAGGTCAAGTGGGCTTTGTAGTCCTTAGACTTAACTTGCACCACTGACAGGACTCTAAGTAAGCTAGGCCGAGGCAGCACTCTCAGATGACCCTATGACAAGTGTACTGTTCAGGAAA